TCTCTTGTTAAATCTATTTCGAAAAGCCTTCACAAGAAAATGACTACCGTCATATGAAAAATTATAACCGTTAATTATTACAGTTTCTAGATACTTGTGTCGACTTTTGTGATTGTGAATGCATAAATACGAAGTGGATAGAGTAGAATGAACAGAGCATCTTCACTCTTGCCCATACTTATACTGACTTTGGCAAAGACGTACATGAAAGCCGATATCAATGCTACGATAGACGACTTTTGGATATTATCGACTCAACATAGCAGCCGTCTATTTGAGCTTCTAAGAGTATGAATAGTCTTCTGCTTAAGTATTACATTGTATTCACTTGATGATGTGTAGAAAGGATCAATTGTCAATTTAAGAAAAAATTGCATCTTGATATTATTATTGAGTTAGCAATAGTATTTCAGCATTAGAAACGGGTGTGGGATGAGCATGCGTGGAGGTGTGCAGTGTGTGGGTGAGGGATGAGTGTGAGTGTGGATTTGGATATATTTTCAACCCACACCCACACCCTGTTTTATTTGATCTTTGAAAATCTCAAAAGCTGATTTTTCATCAAAGTTGTTTATTAAATTTAATAAATTTGAATAATGTTGATTATCTCGTAGAGTATCTTTCCAGACTTGTAAAATTTTTAATTGTCTTTTATGAATATCTGTTAATATTTCAATTGAATAAATTTTTTCTTTAATATCAATATTATTCATAGATATTATAATACTTAATGCACATTGTAAATCAAATGTCTGTTCATATTCATAATATGGTAAATAGACTCCAGTTATTAATTTTGAACAAAAATCTAAAAATTTCAAACCAGCATATAAGGGGTATTCCGGAAATTCTGAAACGATTTTAAAATTTATCGTTCTCGCATTCTACAAAAGCAAATTTGTTCAAACTTTGGTAGACTGTTGTACATATATAGTATTACATAACTATAAAGTTTGAGGTCTATAGGTTCTACTATGGATGAGAAACTGTAACAATACTGACATGTACTATTTTATAAATTTTCCTGGTCATCTTCGAGGTGTGCAATATTTTTTTATTTCGTCTATATCTTGGCTTAGGTAAACGATAAAATCTTGACTTTTTCTTTAAAAGATGCGCCGTGAAAAGCTCTACAAAAAGTGCAATAACAAATCCCTATTGACTTTCTGTTAATGGTTTCTGCCATACTCAAAATGAAAAACCTGCATGCTAGTACTACTTCTCACCATATTATGCGTAATAAAAAAAGGTTTGGAAGACCTTTTTGCTTTCCAATAGGAATTTGTTTACACAGCTTTTGTAGAGCTTTCGACGGTGCATCTTTTGAAAAAGAAATCAAGATTTTATCATTTTCTCAAGCTGAGATACATGAAAAACAACATGTTCTTCCAAACATTTTTTATTAAGCCCAATATGGTGAGAAGTAGTACCATCATGTAGGTTTATCATTTTGTGTATGGCAGAAACCATTAACACAAGTCAATAGGGATTTGTTATTACAATTTTTGTAGAGCTTTTCACGGCGCAGCTTTTAAAAAAAAATTCAAGATTTTATCATCTACCTCAGCCGAAATATAGATATTTTGGTAGACTTGGGATACAGGAAAATTTTAAAAATAGTACATCATAATGTTGTTACAGGTTCTCCTCTACAGTAGAACCTATAGATCTCAAACTTTGTAGTTATGTGGCACTACATATATGCAATAATATGTCAAAGTTTCAAAGCGTTTGCATTTGTTGAATGCGTGAACGATAAATTTTAAAATCGTTTCAGAAGTTCTGGAACACCCTTTTTTCATCCAATAATTCATATAAATCAAGTAAGATTTCATTAACTAAATCTTCAAGTTTCATGTTTTGATTTATTTCTGTCTCATGCAAAATAATAAAATATCTGAAGTATTTTTGATAAACAAAAAAACATAAGTCACGTTTTCTTTTTCTTTCTCCTATTTCTATTCATTTTTAGTTCGTGACGTAATTTTTTTTTCTTTGCCTTCCATATCACCAAATACTAAATAATGAAAAAAAATGAATCTAGTCTTTACCAAGAAAGTTATTGCGATATTCTTATGAAATTTTTGTAAATGTGCAGAGTAGATAAATATTTTAAATCTAATTAAATTTTCGATCTCGTGT